AGAAGATTGGACAATTGCAAAATGGAAGAAAGTTGTATGATCTGATGAATCAACATTTAGCCAATTTTTACAAGGTCATAGCTTACGTGTGTGGTATACACCAGAAGAAGAATTTAACACTTCTTGTTTAACTGCTACAGTAAAGCAAAGTTTCAGTCGAATGTTTTAGGAATGCTTTTCATAGTATGGGCTGGGACCTCTTGTTTCTCTTTTCGAATCTATAACAGGACAAAGATATGCAAAATGTTACAGAGGCATACTATTCCTTCAATTTACAAATTAGTTTCTCGCAAATAAGGAATTTTTCAAGAGGATAATGCCTTACCTCATCGAGCAAAGATTGCTGTTGATGTTTGTAACGCCTCTAAGATTTCTATGCTACCCTAGCCTGCACAAAGCCCTAATTTAAATCCTATTGAAAATCTTTGGAATGAAGTTGATAAGAAATTTTGTAACTTGCCTAATCAACCTAAAAATGTGAAAGATTTAGAACGTAAGGTAAAATATATTTGGCATTTAATTCCACTTAAATATATTCAAAATTTGATTGAAAGTATGCCCTGTCGCATTCAAGCATGTATAGTAGCTGAAGGTGGTTTAACAAAGTATTAGTTATTATTTTTTTTTTAATAAAATATATAGGAAATATTCAGAACAAATAAATTTTTTGCTTATTCTAAAAAAAAAGTTAATATAATATGTAAATTCAAATAGTTTAATTAATCGTTCGGGTAACTGTGATCACCTTCTGTAAATCTAATATTATTTTTATTTATATCTTTTGAAAAATGATCACATGATTTTTGAAAATTTACCTATGTGATAACTCACGTGATATTCTATGTAATAACCTATATAATCAAAAATTTATTCTTATATTACAGTTATTAATAGAGCCACCTTAATAGAAAATGATCAAAATTTTAATCAAGTTAAAATTAATATTAATTAGAGTTAAATAATGAAATACAATAGAAATATTAGAGAAATATTAGATTAAGTTAAAAATAAAATGGAATTTTAATTGATAATTTTTTAATTATTAATAATTTATATTTTTAAACTAAAATTAAAAATTAAATAATCGACTTATTTCTTCTAAAAGTAAATTTAATTGTGCAAAAGTTTTTTATCATAAATCTATGTATTATATTATTAAAAATCTAAAAAAAAAACTAGATTTATTACTTTTAAAGTAAATTTAATTATATAAAAGTTCTTATTATATTATCCAAAAGATCATGTGATACACATGACTAAAAAGTATATTGACTGCATCATATTAGATGATGAAGACAGTGAAGATGAGAGAAATAAATTAAACAAAAGTTATGCGAAAAACCCAGAAGTCGCCAGAAAATTCTATTATATTATTAATCATTTTGTATTATTAATCATTTATTATTTATAATCAATTAGTATTTTATTTATTTATATTAGCAAATTTAGTATAAATAGGATAGCTTTAGGACTTGGTTAAGAAGAAGAATATTAGGTAGCAATAGACAGTAGTAGATAACAAGAGATAATAATTTGTAAACAATTGAAACTCAATTAGTTTTTATCACTAACAAGATAAATACTAATAACAATTATATGCTAACAAATATAATTATAGCGAATTCCTTATCCTTTAATAAAATTCTAAAAAAGTTTATTTTAGATAACTATTATTTGAAGTAATAATTATTTGTAAACCTTTCAGAGCTTTTCCTAAAGTATCAAATAAAAGCTAAATCTCTTTGTTAATCTTGCGTTAATATTAATTTTCAGTTATTAATATCATAAGATAACAATTTAGTGCGGGTTGGATGGAATAAAAACCAATCTGACAAATTAAACATATGCGAAGGATACTTAGACAATTAACAGTAACTATAAGATCTATTCTTCTCTAACTTTAGCTACGGGTTGCTGAAATCCAATTTCAGTATAAATCATTAAAGAACAAAGAAGTTATTTCAATCAATCATCTTAGATGTTTATAAAGCAACATCAACGATCTAAAACATTTTATTGAATTTTATAAGATTAAGGTTACGTAGGACGAATGAGTATTTAGTGACGACTACTTTGTTAACGAATCTCAATAAATCTGAAGGAATCTAGCACTGATCATATTACTGAAGAACAATACCTACTAACCGTTTAACAATACATAGCTGCTCATAAGGAACTTGAGGATCATAAAATCTCATTTATTATCCATTTAGATCAATTCTGCCTACAGTGTCATCCAGACTATAAAACTCAATCAGGAAAACTGCCATCGTTTGATAATTTTTAGTTTCTGTGAATTGCATCTAAATATAATGCTATATCATACACTACATTTACTGTAGCATATTTTATAAGGGTCTAAGAGAGTGAGACTAGTTTTTTAGAAAGAGATCACTTATTAAAATATTTGTTGAGAAAAATTGTTATTACAATTAGATATAGGGACAACATACTAAAGGAATTCTTTGATAGCATCGCTGATAAATTATATCAAATTTGAGTAAAAATAAAACAGTTTCAATTATGGGAAATTAAAAGTATTAGCAGTACTGACTTAATTATAAATAGCAATTGTATTGATACCTCAGAAAATATGGAAAGAGATCAAAATGATACTATCATAGCACCTTTTCAAGGAAGTAATGAAAGCTCCTCAGGGATGACACTGCCAGTAGCAATGTATGGACCACCATCAGGAACTACTACACTTATACCTCAACCATTATCATACATACCATCTTATGTATAACTACGATAACCATACCTGAGAGATAGGAGGCAATATGATGAAGAAGAAAATGACACATATGCTACTGATTATGAACAAATATCCTATTTGGATATGTCAATAATAATGATGAAACATTACAGGAAACATCTTTCTTTGATAATGCAAATGAACTAGAGAGAGGAGGAACCCCAAATAGAATACCTCGAAGAGTTGCATTTAATACAAGTAATAATAGGAGGTCTCTATCCCCTGTTAGAGTAGAAAATGTTCAACAATTAGTAGCCTTAACATTATCCAGTAATCAATCATCAAGGCCATCAAATTTAAGAGTAATAACTCCATTAGTAGGAAATATAAATAGTGGATTATCATTGGAAAATCCTTACAATTTTTCCCAAACAACTCAATATAGTCATATATTTGACTTCTTAGTACCACTTGATCCTTTCTGAAATAGCAACCCATCTACAATCTCCAGTTTCACAACTGCAAATTGGCAACCAGTAAATAACTGTTAGCTTTAAAGTAACTCAAATAACAGAGGAAATAATACAATGGGATATCAAAATGTAACTACCAAAGGAATCTCACAGTCAACAACGGTAGCCCAATCATATAATATGTGATCACCATCAAACTCCTGGAGGGTAGTTCTCAATCAACTAACACAATAACTTCTCAGTCAGTACCTAACAGTCAACCGTCAAATAATACAAATACCTCTCAGCCAATACTTACATTGCAACCAGTTATAGTATCAGTAGGAACAATACTTACCTTCAAGTCATACAAGGGCTAGCAGGATGGCTTCAAGGATAACAAACGAGAGAATAACGATTGGTAGATTTGCCAACATTTAGAGGAGGAAATCAGGATCCAGTAGAGTGGCTTGAGGCTTTCGAACGAGCTTGTAAAGCAAACTGTATCAATACCACTTAAATGGTTGAAATAGTCTCCAGTTATTTAACAAGAACAGTATTGATATAGTTCTAATGACAATATGTTACCAACTGAAATAGTAGGATCTATCCTGATACTTCCTTTGTATCATTATTTGAACAATATTTCTGTAATACATTTTGACAAAATCAATGAAAGCATCAGTTTAGGCATAGGAAGCAGAAACTAGGTGAAATGATTGAGAAATATGCAGCAGCAATAGGAGAATTATGGAAGCGAGTTGACCCATGGTATAGGCGAGCTAAGATGAATAAAGTTGCTGAATTTATTGAAGGGCTGCGACCAGAATTTATGATACCAGTACAAACAGCAATACCAACAACAGTAGATCAAGTAATCAAAAAGGCCAGAGCAGTAGAATCTGCATATTCGATTGGAATAGAACTATCTACCTATTCGTTAATGCCTAATTACATGTAATTATTATAAGGAGGAATAGTACCAGCTCACACAAGTATAGTAATACAACCTACATATATTACACAGCAGCCAGATATTGAGGATACTATTAATCGCAAACTAAATGAAGGGTTACAAGTGATTATGGCAAACATTAGGCAACAACAGCAATAATAATAATAGCAGCAGCAACAGTCACAATAACGGTTATACAAATGTTTTAATTGTGGAAAATTTGGACACTTGTCTAGAGATTGTAGAAGTAATCGATGTATGAATAATGACTAATCAAATATTGAATGCTTTAACTGTGAGAAGTATGGCTATTTCACCAGAGATTGTAAGAGTACAAACAATAATAGAGGTTGAAACTTTCAAAATCATAATGATTATAACAGAAATCATAACTGCAATAATAGCAAGAATAGGAATTATAGAAATAATAATAATAATAATAATTACAATAATAACAGTAATAATAATAGTAATAACTTAAACTAGAAATCGCACCTCTTAGGGATGAGTGTGCGAACAAACCAAAGCCCTTAAAAGTGAAAGAAAAGGAAGAAGCAAAAGAGAATAGTCAAGGTGAAGCAAAAACAAAAGCAAGTTTAATAGAAGTACCTTATGTATGTAGAGGAATGAATTCGAAAATTCGATTCGTAAAATCATATGAAAACAAATATGATCACTCCAGTTGTAAAGAATATGACCACCACAGTCATATTGTATGTACAAATTGTAATAAGATTGCTAAAGGAATAGCAGCACGATGCGAATGTAAGAAAGTAAAATGGAAGGATCCACTAACTGATGAAAGGATTTTCAGTAAAAATCAGCCAATTAAACCAGTAGATCTCTAACAACAAGGAGAAGTTACTGTTAAAAAAAGGCCAAAGTATGTGTTAGAAATCTTATATAATTACAAAGGAATCTATCTTTCAAAACGAATTGACCCAAATAAGGAAATGTATAACTTATGGCAAACAGTCAGTGGGAAGGTTGAATTAGGAGAATCATCGATAAGGACTATGATTCGAGAAATTGATGAAGAAACTGGAATACAATTGGATAAAGATCGCTTAGAATATATCTTAAATGATCCTACATATAATTGTGACGTATATAAAGTAAAGCTAAATAAGGAAATACCTCAACATACTGAACTTACCAAACATAGCAATTGGCAACATTTTGAGTTTGATGAATATTTACAAATGGCTGGTCTAAATGAATTAACACCAACGCATAATAAATATGAAAAACTTTTCATATCTAAATTAAAGAAACACATTTTTACTAGTAATACGGCACATGATGAACCTATCAAGGATGCATTATTTATTGAAGCCCAAGTGGAAGGATACCTTATAAATGCTTTAGTAGATACTGGATCTGTAGGAAGTATCATTACTCAATGATATCTTAGGCAAATCAATAAGGAAATTGATGAATCTGCAAAAACAAAAATCATAGGAGTGGATGGAAAAACTATGATGCTTTTAGGAATAATTAAAGGAGTTACAGTAGAAGTTAATGGAATAACTGTTAATGAAGATATGCTAGTAACCAATGCTATGGAATATAATATTATTTTAGGAAACACTTGGTTGCAAAAAGTTTGTGCAATCATTGTCTATGATACCAGGGAAGATGATCTTCAGTGACGAAATTTTGCAAAATCTGCCAGCGTTTATTTTAAAATCTGCCCCGCTTTCTGCGGCTTATTATCATCATTCTGCAGATATTTTATTATATTAATTATAATTTCTGCTCATTTCGGCGAA